GGGCTGTGCCCGGCCCCGGCTGCGGCGCTGCGCGGAGATTCTGAAAGGCGAGGTGCCTGAGGTGGGCCCTTCAACCTCAGGCGTCCCCTGAGGTGTTACTGCTGGCTGCCAGAAACAATATAATGAACACATGGTTTTCTGCCTCTCTGCTTTTCTTTTTCCTGTAACTTGAAGAGACGTCTTTTGATTTATTTATTTATTTATTTTTCTCTTCAAAAGGTTCTTGTTTGTCGAGGACAGCATACGCCAAGTTGGGAGAGGAGACCAAAACCCAAGTTGTGATTTTTAGTTAGGTTCCTTATATTCATGCACTGGTCATATTGCCCGTTGCGCTGCCTTTGTCTGAACTAGTGAAATTGTGTGCCTTCCAGCCTGGGTGGCAAACAACCTGTCTACTGCACTGGACCACTGATTGGTAAATCCTGTGTATCATCCATTGCCTTTTGCTGTACATCCTCAGTCCCTAGGATCTGCTATGTTATGGTCAACAATACCGACGTAATCTGTTGCAGCTAACACCATATCTTGCCTTATCTGTTGATCTGTTTTAGAACCTAGGATTGGAAGGGCTCAAAGGCATTGTGTTGCTTGCAAGCAATTGCTGTTCTGTTTATAAAGTAATGTAAAGCTTTAGTTAGTTGTTTGCTGTATAGATACTGCAAGTATTACAGTTTGGTTGTTGTGTCTGTTTTCAGATCACTATGAAGGCCTTGTATTGTCAGCAGAATTCACCTGGAGAGGAAATGACATTTGTCTTTTCCAATCATAATAGCACTATTAATCATTCAGTGGAAGAAGAGAGTGTGGCTGAATGCCACAAGGGAATTGAAACACCTAACACTTCTGTAGACTTAAAAAAGAACTGGTGTAATCCTTGCACGTACAGGCAGGTAAATGAAAGTAGGAGAGGTGTATTTTACCATCACCATGCAGCACTTGGCAAGACTAGTGCTAGATTTCTCTGTGCAGTTTTGGTGTCCATATTTAGAAACAAGTTTTGCAGGTGCAGCAAATGAACCCTGGCTTCATACAGATTCACATCTGGTTGGATTTTCTGGTTGCTGAAAAAGTAGAAATACAGGTTGCGAAATTTGTCGTGTTTGGAGTGTTCCTACTGTTATTTTCTTTCCTGTTGTGAGTTCTTTGCTCTTAGTGAAAATTGGGATCACAGTGTAGCCTTTTTCTCAGAGGCATTGATAAGTGTCCTTTGTCTAGCTACAACTTAAAGGAACGACAAGAAGACAACTATTTTTCTGTCAAATTTAGCTGAAACTATTGTTTCAGAGTCTTTGTCAGTTTGATTACTAGAGTCTTTGTCAGTTTGATGTAAACATTAATTGTACATGTGAGCTTGTGGCATAAGGCTAAAATAGGACATCCAATGAGTGTATATTGACACAGTATGGGTGGCTGAACAGTAGAAAAATACTTACATGGTTTTGAGGATGTGCACCTGTGTTCTTAAATCTCTTATAGGTACAAAATAAATTACTATAGATACCTATGTATACCTGTGTAATATAGGTACCTAAATATACCTATGAGCCATATATCAAAATGAAACAATATAGTACTGTTGAGAATCTTGCTTGAGCAGCTGCAAAATCCCAGCAGTGAAGAACATCTAATGAACAACCTGAAGAGAAGGATGCCATGAGATGGGTGATTTTTGATACAACCAAGGTGCATATTCATGGAGCAGTCTTAGACTTAGTTTTAAGCTGATTGTGAAATTGTGCTTTTGCTGAAAAGATTTGTTCACCTTTCGGTGCCACATTTTTATTCTCTTCCTTGTAGTGGTTTTAGGAGTCCTGCAGCTGTAAGGTGAAAGCTTACTTATCCAGGTGAAAACTAGTAATTTGTTATAATCATTGTGATGGCTCCATGCTTGCTAGCTCCAACACAAAGGAGGGGATGGGAATACGTAGATGCTGTCAACAGCTGAGCCACACAGCTCTGTTACAGTCTTAGGTAAGCTAAAGCAGATCTTGAAACCGCACTCCTGTGCATAGACTTTGTCTGCCTACTTGCCTATTTAAATCTCTTCAGGCAGGAACTGATTCTGCAGCTGTCTGTGTAATGGCCAGCAGTATGGAATCCTCACCTTGAATAGAAATAAATATTGGAAAAAAAGTGGGGAAAAGGAAAGTAAGTTGGCGGAGGAGACCTTAATAGAACAGAAGGTGGATAACAAAAAGTCAGTAGCTTGGATGAAGAATTCCCATAGCAAACCTTCCTTATGTGGTGCTTGGTCAATTCCTAATAGTAACATATTCAAATTATGAAGGCAGGAATCAGCTAAGAGCACAAACATTTCATTGTCTTCTTTTTGTTCTTAAGACTTGTATTCTTTTCTAAAGAAAAGCAATTTTATTATGTGCTTTGTAGCAGTACTTAGGTTCATTCAGCTATGCGTGCCAAAAGGATAGTCCCAAAAGATAATGTAATCTTTTACATAAATTACATAAGTCCCTTAGATTCTAACTTCTTTTTTTTTAAAAAAAACAGAGATGTGGTATTCGTATAGTTCAACAGTTTAATGGCTTTTCTGTTTTTTGGAAGAAAGACTGAGAACCCGCTTTGGTTGGTTTGAGGAGCAGGAGGTCAGTCTGACTGGCAAAATGCCTTGCAATTTTAAAGGAACAGCATGTGTTTAACTTGGCTGGGGTGAGAAAAAGTTCAGCTCAGTATTCGTTGGACAGAGGTTACTGTTCATGTTGCTAAGTCTAGGAGGAAAACAACAGCTGTTTCTTGGGAAAAGTTTAAAAAAATAAAGAAAGCTTAAACACTTAAGAATATATCTTAACTTCAGAAGTAGAAACAAAACTCTCGTATGACTTTCTGATAAGCGTTTCACTTTCAATTCCAGCAGACATCTACACTGCAGACTACAGAGTAAAGTGGAAATGCATGATCTTGCCTCCAGTACCTGAGGTAGCTCTTCAACAGCTGTGTAGAGTCTGCAGTCCAGAACTCAACTTGGCTAATTAAATACTTCAAAGTAGCAGTACTTGACTACTTAAAATCATTTCAGAAATCAGTCCCAAAACCAAAAGTTGAAATAGTAAGGGGAGGCGTCATTAGTAGAACACATTTGTATGTGAGGTAGCCATCATTTGTGTTCTTATCATAGTTCTTATCACTACTGTTTCTTTGACATCATCTGGACTAGTTGAATGTTTAGCTCAGTAAGTTTGTCAGTACAGTCGTGTCAAAATTCTCTTAAAAATTCCCCATTGCTATTGCAATATAGTTTTAATATTCAAGATCTGCTTCCTTCTATTTATTTGTTAGACACTAGGGGAGTAATTACATACTGAAACTGTTTCAGACAAGGGTGTGATATTTAACTTGCAGTAAAAAAAAAACCAACTGAGAAACAATGTTGTTTGAAGTTTAGTAAGGTCTAGTGGTCAGTTTGTAATAGTAATATACATGTATTCAAAATCATGTTGTAAATTCATTGTGACATCAGTTCCCTTTTCATTGAAAAAAAATTTCTTATTCTGACTACAAAACAATCTAAAACAAAGACTCTGTGGAAAAGTGTTTTCAAGAGCTTGAGAGGATCCTACTAGCACATTCATGTTGCATTGTATAATGTAACGTCTGTAAATTTGTCCTAGGAAAACCTTCCTCCTCCAAGAGACAATGATGTGAAAGTACAAGTTAGAGCTTGTGCACTGAGCTGGATAGATACAAAGGTATTTGCTTATTTTTTTCATAAAAGCTAGAGATGTTTACAGTTTCCGTTGAAGATCTAAGCCAGGGCCTTAGCTGGTAATTGGCACAATTCCACTTATGCCATCTGAAGATATGGCTTTACTGCTGAGAAGGAGGGCACAAGATTGATGTGGTATTCTTGCATATCTTTAAATAAAAAGCATCTGTAATTTGGTTCCTAATTTATGGAGAAAGATCAGTTGTCATTTGTGAGTTCTCTTCCACTAAATCCCTTTTATCATCTTCTGCGTACTGACTTTTAAGTCACAGTTTGACTTGCCTGTTAATAACTCTCCTGGGTTTTTTTTATATGCTTCTAAATTTAAATACAGAAAATCGGCGCAAAGGTTTTAATATTAAATGGGGAGTGTGTGTACTTTTTCCCCCCAATAACGTTTTGGTAATGGCCTAACTTTCTTACTGTGAGTATCAAACACTGTAAGGTGATAATAAATACGCATATTTTGAGCCTTAGTAAGAATGTTGTTACAATTATTTTCATTTAGCTTCTGTCAGAAATTAAACTGGAGAAGGAGCTCCTACCTGTTGGTCGAGAAATTTCTGGAGTTGTATTGGAAGGTAAGGTAGTCTAATTGTCTTGTGAGGGTATGGAGCAAGAATTAAGGTCTGGTAATCCAGAGCAAATAAATACTGTTTGTATGGTACACCTATAATAGTAGAAACTATTTGCTTTCTTAATGAGGCTTCCCCCAAGTCAGTAATGATAGTGAAATGAAAGTAAAAAAGGAACAGAACTGTAATTCTTGCGTATCTGTTCAGAGTTTAAAAAAAACAAAATTACACAGCAGCTTTCTAAATAAATATACTAAGATCTTAAGATATTACCTGCATATGCTATAACAGTCTTCAATTTATTTGTAAAAATCATTTGTTGGAATAGTGAAGACAAAATAACATTCAGGAGTTTCGGCAGTGTTTCACTGACATACCCACTTTTGATGTGTAGTTTAAAGCCTGGATCTTTCAAATGCACATACGTGTGTGTACTTGCACGTACTGTTTGTGGATGGGGTGCCAAAGTTTAGTGAATTCAACATTGGGTTTGGTATGTGCATATTTAATAGAAATATTTTTTTTTTTCACTAGCAGGGTATATTTTTCATTTTGTGAGCTAGTGATAAACAGTGCTTTCAAATGCATGTTCAATTTCCACTGTAAACATTTATCTCCCTACCTGCTTTCCTCCTTTTCATATATTCTTCATGAGTTGGAAGAAAGGTGACGTTTTTTCAGCCAGATGATGAAGTGGTGGGTAAGTTAATGCTTGTTTGCTTTATCAACTAATGCAATCAGTAAGCTTTGTATAATGAATGGCTGAGATTGTAATCATTGCTAAAGCTACAATTAGACATATATTTTCAAAGATTCAACTAGTGTCACATAAATAAACTCCTATAAATGAGAATTCTATTCTAAAAGTGTTCTCTTGGGGAACTTTTTTGGTTATAAGAATGGAAGTTTGGGTCCCCAGTTAATGTAATCTGTCATAGTCCCTACTGCATTCACCAAATCTTTAAGAATACACACCTGGGTCCAGTTAGCTATGTGGAGCGAGTATTCGAAAGGCAACCATCTGAACACATACACAATTATTTGTATTTATAACACCATCTTGATGTAATTAATCCATATCTTTTGATTTCTGTGGATGATAGAAAGTTTAGGCTTGTATTTCCTGCCTCCTTGAGGATGAAATTAAAAATATACTTTTAGCTGCTAGCGATGAATCTCTTCTTCAAGCGTACTGAAGACTGAACAGTTTCTTCTCAGTCACATCAGTTTCTCTTTGAGTAAAGAAATCAAGAGCCATCCTAACTTAAACATGCAAGTAGGTTCACCAGTTCTACTGGATTTTCTGAGTTGCCAAAAGCAATGCACGTACTCAGGTGTTTTGTTAAATACAAGGCCACATTTAAAAAGAAACACTGATTCAAGCTGCTCGTTTTTCAGAATCTTCATTTTTATTGCATGTTAGAATTCTTGAAAGTGGACTTATTTCCTGCCTAACTTAACCACAGGGAGTCCATGCTTTATGATCCTGCTATGACATTATTGTCAGAGAAGCCCATCAGAAGGGCATGTGGTAAGCACTGTACTTTTTTTGTTTGTTGTTTAAAATGGATTTCCAGGTCAAAAATCACACAGAAAGCGTTTGGGGCTTTTCTTTTCCTGTTAAAACTTTGTCAGACCTTTCATGTCATTAGCTTAAATCTAATGGAATAACATCTGTGATTATTATTACTTATTTACCACAGAAGGTGTAATCCTTACAGTTGGGAAATAATATTCCATTTGATGAGGTACAGAAGTGGCTTTGCTTTGTTTAATAAAGTAGAACAGTTATGGCCAGGCATTTTCTGGTCTTGCATGTGAATTAACTTTGAACTATGAATAGTATCATTATTGCGAACATTATTGCTCATTTGGTTAAATATCTTACTGACATATGCCACATCTGTTGAATATTTTAAAATAGTATTTGTGTTTCAATCACCTTCTGTTATAGCTGAAGGAATACAGTTTCAGTAAGTAGGTAGTGAAAAAAAAAAAAAAAAAAAAAAAAAAAAAAAAAAAAAACACTCTGAAAATATGTCAGTGGACCTGAGAGGTCTAAGTGACGTTCTAAGTGGCTGTGGGAGGGTTGGGTTTTTTTTGTTAACTGGAACTTCATTCCATTCTTGTTAATTCAAATATAGAATAAGTAGTTTGAATCGGCTGAGCTACTTCAGAGTAAATCTGACATTAAGGGAATGGAATCCCTCCTTGGGTCATGAAAGAAGCAGATTCATTCAGACTTCTATTGTCTGTGGGTTTTGTTCTTTAATACTGAATGTTTGCCAATGCAGATACAGAAAATTCAAAATTACACATATTGAAATAGGAGGACGAAGAAAACAGCATTGAATATTTTTAGAAAGAAAACCCACTTCATTATACTGAAATCTCATAGCATTCCCTTTCAAACAGGTGTTCAACCTTATGTATCCAATATAGATGCTATAAAGACAAAAGATAGGAGTGAAATATTTTTATTATGATAAATCTTTCCTAACAAGCACGCTTCCCAGTTACTATTGCTCTGAGTTTATACATAGTTAATGAATGAGCAGATTTAAAAGAAAATGAGCTATTACCAAATGGTTTGATTACCTGTGTGTTTAATAACATCAAACTGTCCCAAAATACACAATTGTCAGAAAAATATTTCTACTTGAATTTTACAAAAAAGCCTGTCTTTCTATCGAAGAGTATAGTCCTGGTATATATAGTCCTTACTGAGTTTAACAGTAATAATATGGTATTATGGTCCTTATTTATGAATCTACTCTTTTTCATGTAAGAATAATACTGTGCTCACTGGAAGTACTTGGTGTGTTAAATCTTTAATCTGTTTCTAAAATCGTACCAAGAATCGTTTTTTGCTTTTGAAGTTTTTCTGATCCTTCTTTGATGTTCCAGTGGAGATTTCTTTGTCTATATAATGTATTCTCTTATACATAATTGTTTGGTTAAGAAAAATACAGTAGTAAAACCTCAAACCAGCCAAAAATCTTTTGTTTTGAGATACATTCTTGATTTCCTTTCAAAGTTACAGTCAGTTTTATTTGTTGCGCTCAGAATCTTTTAGCAACCAATTATGCCATGTTCCTCGTTAAAAAAAGTGCAGGGAAAAATATTCTGAGAGTTAAACTGGCCACAAATACTTGGAGACAAGAACCTAAATATAAACGTACCTGCTTAGATTTACTGGTGGTTAGTGAGTTTGTGCATCAGTTCTTCCATATGCCCTGTTACCGAATACATAAATAATCAATGCACGAAACCCATATGCTATGTGGAGTATTTCTGACAAGTAAGGTGAAAAATCTGATTTTGTACTTGTGTCAAATGCTTGACGTGCATAGCATACATAAGATAAAGGTCTATACTTCATGCTGAAGCTTCTGTAAGCATTATGAGGTATACTAAGAGGCACAATTCTTTAAGATGTCATGTCCCTTATACTAAGGGTCATGTTTTTGTGAATGATTTTAGATACCCTGAAATCAGTGTGAGTTGACAGCAATGTATAGTGACTCCTTGGACGTTGTCTTGAGTGTTAGGAGATAATGTGACTTGTTCCTGAACTTTTGCGTCCATCAAGAAAAGGAATGTCTTCATATATTACTCATTCTGTGCTTTGCTTTATCTGTAGTAAGATGTTAGAATGCAAACTGGTTTAGGTGCCAAGGCTATTTTAGTTTACTGTAAGGAAATTTTTCTTAACATTTAAATATGATACTGTATTAATCATCAAAATCTGAATGATGCCTTAGGATAGAAGAGATATTTCTCAGGGACATTCTTTCATACATGTTTTTATTTTTTATGCTAAATTAAAGGATTAGAGGATGACATAAGTTATGAAATTAAAATAGAATTGATAGTGATGTTGTAAGAAAGTGTGTTCCGTTCTGAGATTCTTGCCCTTCTTGCATTATTTCCTAGTTGCACAATAGCTGCTGTAGATAGCTAGTTTAGACTTATTATTATTATTATTCTATAGATAAACCCTTGAGAGATCTGCAGATGTATACAAGCACTGTAGGTTAACCATTTTTTAATGGGAATTGTGAAAGACTGGAAATAGCAGCCAAATTTGCTGAGGATTTTAAGCCAAAGCCCTTGCTTTGGTCTAAATGGAGTATACGATTTGGATGGGAGAACGAAGAAAATATTGTTTTACCAAGGATAGAGGGTACATATATTCAGAAGACTGATCAGATGCCAGAACCTGCTGTTCATGAATCTCTTTTTTCGCTGCGCTGGCCAGAGGAGCACTGTTATGACCAGGATGGATTTCTTTTTTTCCTTCTGCTGTTCTGCGTTTGCTTTCTCTGTCTTCCATGGGTGTTTTTTTTACCTTCAGTTCCTCTCCTCTATTCCAGCTTTTGAAAACTTACACTCATTACACTCACGCATTCTTGCTTGTTCTTCCTCTGCTTTTTTCTGTCCCTTTTTTTGCTGCCTTTGCTAACAACACACGTACAGGCATCAGGATGGAAGAGCAGAGGTATCTGTAGTGTGGCTTGGTCTGTACCTGTCTGCAATATGAGCGCTTGATTTTTTTTTTTCTTTGTTAGCCATGGCCCAGAGTAGGAACAGGAGCACTCATCAGAGTGAGAGCAGTGTGAAATGAATTCAGACATGACCTGACAAAAATTAAACATGCCAGTAGCAAAAAGTGCTCAGTAGTGTCCCCATTCTTTCTCTCCCCAACCCCAAAATGCTGTTTGGAGCACCTTTGGAACCATCTTGTGCACTGTGCCCATAGAGATTACAGGCTGTTACCTTGCCAGGTTTTCTTAACCTGTCATAAACCTGGCAAGAGGGCAACTGAACTACAGACCAAGTGGGACTAGCAGTTTCGTTAGGAGCTTGTTTTGGTTATAACGTATGCTTGTTTGAAATTAAGGTCTATCTTTGAATTTTTTTCAGGAATTTTACCCCTGGATTCGGAAGAGTCTGGTCTTTGTGAAATTATTCTAGTTCATGAGCATTATTTGGGTATGTAGTTCATATATTTTGCTAACTTTTACATTTACTGTATCTTTAGACTTCAGTTTAGCTTTTCTAATAGGGAGCTAATTAACTTGGACCTCTGGGCTAACTTGTTGTCTGTAGCAACATTCAGACATTCTGTCTACTCCACCTGTTCATAGAAGCTTTCTTTGAGTACTACCTACTCTCAAGGGCTTTTTCTTTGCTGTTATTGTTTAATGGGCATTGTTTTGCCTAAACCATACAAGCTGATGCTTCTCCCTCCTCCCCTTCTAACTTCCCTTTTTGTTGCTTCATTGTCTTTCTACTTTTTCTCACCTCATCTGTCACAAAATTGAATGAGGAGAAATTTGCTTTTTTCCTCACTTTGACTCAATCCAGGAATATGAATTGTGACCAGACTAACAGATGGAATAATATTAGCAGACTAGAAGCTGCAGAAAGGGATTTTCAGGGAATGAGGATCAGGGAAAACCTAGCATTGAAACGTTCTTTTCAATTATTGTGAGTTTCCAGTTTCCCCTTTCTGGGCATAGAGTGCTTTAATGTGTAGAACACTAGATTTGGGAATCTCTATGCTTCTCCCAACAGTTTGTTGTGTTACCTGCAGCAAGCTACTCTTTTGCTCAAAATAGTTTGTATTGTGTTTCTGTGACTGTCCATGAATTCAACTTGTGTAGTTATGAGGTGACTCCTTTAGATTTGTTTATAGAAAAACCGAATCCCTACTTTTATTGCGTAAAATAGGGTAAAATATCCTTTTCATGTTTTTTTAATATATATGAGAGGTAAACAAGTATTATTTATGTTGACTTGTTTGAAAATGAAATCTTCCTGACTAGCTATGACAGTTTTTGCAAAACGAGTCATGGACTCATGGAGATGAGAAAGTAAGGTTTATTCTTTTTAAAACTTAAAAGTACAAATCAAGCAAAATGAAATCTAGATGTCTGTGCTGCCTTTTCACTGTTTATGGTAACTATAGGCAGAAAATATTTCTGACTTTGTATTACCTTCAGTAGCTTACTTTGTGCTAAGTAGTATGAACTGGCACACAAAGTGATGATGCTGGTGATGATCCCTAGAATTCTTTTCCAGCACACTGATAAATGATCCCAGGTGATCGCATCACTTTTGTTGTTTTATAGCTTCCCTGATGCAGGCTAAACTGTCAATTCTTTTGCTTAAAGGGACAGACCAAACTTTTCCAATCTTTTTCCTTTCTAGAGTACCTGAAGAGGATTGCGCTTGCTTAGTTCAGTTCTATGCTAGACTCTCAGCTGCGCTATGATGGTTTTCTAGCTTAATATCGAGGTCTCTGCTAAACCATGTAAATTGCTTGCCTTAAAAATGATGTTTGAACTTGTGATTTCTAGTTAACAGAGTACTTCATTAACGTTACCTCCCCAGGCTTTTAAGCGTATGGATAAGAATGGGAAAACTCTTAAGCGTCTTGTAGGTAGAGACAACAGAAAACAGAGGTGACAGATAATGTTATCTTGACCTTTATCTCTCTTAAAATGTGTTATAACCTCCAGAAGCTGTTTATACCAATGGATTATGAAGTAGAAGATTCTAACCTATAGAGAAAGATAATTAGGAACTCGTAGGTTGGAACTTGTGTTTTATGTTCTCTGTGTCAGTTATCTTTGTGAAAAGGAAAAGAGAGCTCCTCAGATCATTTCTGCCAGGTTATGGTAGGCAGTGGGTCTCTTTCTTTTTCCTGTTTAAATACTGTATTTGTATTTGAACTTGCTCACAAGAGTGCTGCAGAAACAAACCAATTATTCTTGGAATAACAATTGGAATAATTGTTGAAAAAAGTTATTCTTGGAATAACTTTTCCACTTTGACTCCGTGTAGCTGACCTACCACTGCCAAGAACCACAACGTCAGAATATTGCCTTTGTGAAACGGATCATCATTACATTTGTAGATAATTTGACTTGTATCATTTTGTTCCATGTTTTAGAAATTGATGAAGTCTAAAAAATAATTCTGAGTGAAATGTCAGGGACTTGCTGGGGTTTTTTTCCCCCCCATCTAGTTTGTTTGTTTGTTTGTTTTTTCCCCAAACTTAGTTCGTAAACCAGAAAAAGTTTGTTGGGTTGAAGCAGCCGGGACTGTTCGTGATGGTGTCCGAGCATACACAGCTTTACACTACCTTTCCCAAGTCTCTCCTGGAAAAACTGTCCTTGTAATGGATGGAGCAAGTGTAGGTAACAACAGTGCAATAATAACAATTTCAGAACAGAAAGTTTACCTCTGCCAGAAATAACTCTTATCACGAGAACGATTGGATTTCTTACAACATACTAAACTTATCCAGCTTTCCATTTTACTCCTGGCAGTGCCCTCAATTTACTGGATTAATTGGGAAGGCCCTCCCTTATCAGATACTGAGCCAAGAGTACAGTCCTTTACATGTTGTGTGGGTAGTGAAGAGAGGTAGTTCTTTTCTGGTGTTTTACATTGACATGGTTTTACCCTAAGCCCTCGAGTATAACTGGAGGAAAGTGCCTTAATTTTTTATTCCTTTCTCACCACTGCTTTTTAACTTCTCTTAGATATAAATAATTTCATTTGCATTTTTTTGCTAGTGAAGATGTGGAGCTTGCCTCAGCCAAGATTCATTAATGTAAATGTGGCTGGGGCTTTTTCCTTGGTAGCACTTCTTCCTTCAACAAGCAAGCAAGCCCAAAACTACAAGTTACAATTGCAGTGATGGTACTTGTGTTACTTAAAGTAGAATCAGAGCTATTTTGTTGAAGAGGAGAACTAGTTAATTACTAAAAGTTTGTTCAGAGCTTCCCAGTCAGTGAAAAGACTTTTTTGACCTCGCCTAGAGCAGAAGCAGATCTGTGAATATTCAAATTCTTGGTTCAGATGTGTTTTATTGAAGGAGTAAGTTCATTTCTGGATACTCGACTTCTCCTGAATGTACTTTGCAATATAATCTTTCTTAAACAGCATCAAATTGTTGCTGTAAATAAAGTCATCTACGTTTTTTTTCTTCTGCAGCCTTTTGGTACAATAGCTATTCAGTTAGCACAACATAGAGGAGCTAAAGTAATCTCTACTGCATACAGTCTTGAAGATAAGCAGTACCTGGAGAGGCTTAGACCTCCTGTGGGTAAGTTACATTCTTCAGTGCTAAAGTCTGTGCTAAAGATTGTCTCAAAATACTTTTTTTTTTTTCATTTTAGTTCAGAGACTTATTTCAGTAGCTGAAAACCAAAATAAAAATTTATAAATAGTCTAATTAAATAGTTTTAAAATTTATTCTGTACTGCATAGGTGTTTAATTTCTGGTTTAGGTGTATTTAATGGCACTTTTATTCTTCTTTTAAATTGTAATGACTGTCTCTCAGTACTTTCCATTTCACACTATAATGCTTGAGTGCTGCCTTTTGGCCTAACTACTCCAGAAGTCTTTTCAGTTTATGAAATTATTGCTTGTGAACAAGAAGAAAGCATTACTGAATCACCAGTATTACAGTATATAATCTAGGTACCTGAGCCAGAGTTCACCTGTAATCATATACTTGAGATACAGCATTCATCAGACACAAATTACTTCTTTTATATAATAGTATTTTATCAAGCTCTGTAGCAGCTCAGTTTCAAGTACTGTCATAACTGTACCTGGACATTCAAAGGCTCTGTATTTTCCTATTTTCTGCGTGAGCTTTGCATTAGACATAATACTTGCATTCATCTATGACTTCCTCCATTTCTTCTCTTCGATACTTAAGTTTTCAGGGTTTTTTCCCTGAAAGTAACAGTGCTATTTGGACCATGGGAAAATACTCTATGTAGAAGCTACTAGCAACTTTCCTGGTCAAACTTCCTCTTATTTCAGTGCTGCAGAGTGGACAAAAGTAGAATATTTCTTTATTCAGACAGTTTTAAAATAAAGGATGGCATTGCAAAGTCCGGTTTGATTGCAGTCCATGAACTTTGCTGTACAGTGAACAAAAGGTTAAAACTGGTGTGTGATATTTCCTCTTCAGAAGGCAAAGACCTCCACAGTATAATCGCCAAGTTTATTTTTCAGTGTATGATTTTTGTTGCCATTCAAAGTAGTACACGTAAGAGTATCTGTGTCTCTCATAAGAATGCCTTTGTGGGGGAAAGCATTGTGTAGTCAGTTATCATGTCTACATATGTTACAGTCGCATCAATCAAAATGGGATGAGATCTGATTAAAAAGATAATGTCAAGGTTAACTATCCCTGACTCTGTCTCCTTTCTCCTTTGTTGTTTTGCACAGTAATATTGTTAGCAGTCTTGGCTTTCTAAATGGAGAATTAGAGCAGTTTTCAAATCTCCTCCCTTGTTCTTAGTGACTCACTAAAACGAGGCATTGCTGATACGCAGGTGCACATAGTATTGTCCTTGTGCTCTCCCTGCTGGCTCAAGAATAGTAAACTATCAGAGGGATGAAATAAGCCAGAGAGCTGCTCTTTAGACACAGAGAGAACAGAGTTCTTGTCAATTTTAATTCCTTTCTGGCTCCCAAGAACAGAACTGGCAGTGGAAGCACAGAGACAACACAGTGTGCATGTGCATTCTGGGGCTGCACGTTCACACACATCTGCAGTGTTGGGGAGTGATTCACTTCCAGCCTACCAAGTGAGTATTTAGCTCTTCCAGTCGTGGCTTTGGAGTGCTGATAATGCAGCAGGAAGTGGAGTGCTGTGCAGAGGTTGTTATACAAGAGCAGGGAGAAAGACATTTTGCTGTCTGACCTCAACAATCTTCAACAGGGAACTGCAACATTTTGTGTTGGGAATGTAATCATTTCTCCTAAGAGCTGGCAGACTAGCTCCTCTAGGTTTTTATTCTCTAGGTTTTTATTCTCTAGGTTTTTATTCTCTAGGTTTTTATTTTGCCTCTATTTTTTTGCAACTTCACGGAAAAGATATTTTTTCCTTTTCTTATTTCAGAAGTCTTTTTGACTGTAATAGTAGACATTACAGACATCAGAACATAAAGCATTTTTGTGAATGCTGTTGATATGTAGAGGTTTGTCATGCCAGCTGTTACAGGGTAAAAGAGTAAATACAAAAGACCTAAAACTTTGCTTTATAATATTTTGTGGGTCTATTTTGCTATGATATGAAAACTTTATTAGCTGAGAAAGGATTTTGCAATTAATTTTATCATCATAGTCCTGTCAGCACATATTAATATGACTTTGGGTTGCTTTTTATTTTATTTTATTTACTTTTTGCTGGTGTTTTTAAGTTACATGAATGTTAATATAAAATAAATACTTGAAGTAACCCAAGTGTAGCTAGCTATGTCTAAGCTGGCTTCTAAAGTCTGTAGGTAGAGGCTTTTTCAGTTTTGTGCTTGTTTAGTGTTTTTTTGTTTAGCTTTTAACAAGTGTCTGTCAGTTGTCAGTGAGCAGCAGTTTGTGTTAGCAGCATATAGCAGAACTAGCTGCCTCATGAAATGTCCGAAATAACCACCTCTTGCAGTCAAAAGGCCATCACTTACACTGCTCATGTTTCTGCTTGTCTTACAACAATAGGAGTTTGGTTTAGCAGTTTTGCAAATGTTTGTGGAGCATAAACATTGAGGGGGGGGGGGATTTTAATTGCAACTTTACTTCAAATAAAGAGATATGACCTGGGTATGGCATTAAAAAGAGAAACAATTTGAGTGTGAAAGCAAAAAGCCACTGGTTTTCCATTTTGGGGTCTTTTGTTTGTTTTGGTTTTTAATAAGTATGTTTCCAGTACCTGAAGTAGAAGTTCCTGCTAATGTTTAAGGAGTCATATTTAGACTAACAGGACGGGGTCTTTGCATGTCTTCAGTACTCTCAGGAGTAAGTATAATAATAGAATGAAGTATGAAGGAGGGGATTATAACAAATTTTGACATTTTAATGCCTATGTTTCAGACTAGAGACAGAATATTACATAAATAATGTGATGAGTTTCTGTTAGAGAACAGAAAAAAACCCAACATATATACACAACCAATATATATACATACATATTTCTTCTGTTCCCTAGGTTACCCCCTTCTTTTTTTATTTGGCTTGTTGGTTTTATTTTTATCCTTAAAACCAATATTGAGCTTTCAGTGGATATATTTCTGGTAAGAACTGATCAGTGATTTCATGGCTCTCTTAAGCATGTTCAGTAAACCAAGTAGCCGATCTTTTGTGTGACAGTTTTTAAACTCTGTAGCTGAACTTACTGGGTGAGAGTAAACTCTGGTAGCAAGTTGTGGAAATACTGATATTTCGACTTCTCATCAACAATGGAAGAAGGGAAAAACTGAAGCTTTTTTGCCAGTCAGAATACTGGCACTGTAGAAGTTGTGCAAGTCACAGAAGAAGGAACTGAACTAATTTACAAATGTTTTATGAGAAATTTTGCATTAATGATAAAGGATTATGGAAAATTATATTATAATTTGTCACTCAGCCTTTTCCACAGTGGAGAGAAATTGTTACAGCATTTTGCTAGGAAGGAAATTGAGCAGGATTTTGATAAGTATTTTGAACTATTTTATTGAGTTCAGTAACAAAACCGGAAATTTTTGCTAAACAGAAATAGAAAATAGTCAAACTGATTATATTGCCTTTTTTTTTCTGATAGTCAAGCTTTGAGTCTTTTAAATCAGAATTATTCTCAAAAAATAGAATCATAGAATCATTTAAGTTGGAAAGGACGTTTAAGATCAAGTCCAACTGTAAACCTAGCATGGCCAAGCCCACCACTAAACCACGTCCCCAAGCACCACATCTACACACCTTTTAAATACCTCCAGGGATGGGGACTCCACCACTTCCATGGGCAGCCTGTTTCAGTCCTGACAACCCTTTTGGTGAAGAAATTC